AAGAAGCTCTCACTGTGTATAGCATAATTCTTCATATATTCCTTCAGTATCCACAATAGTCGTACCATCATAGGCAGGACTGTGAGGAATAAGGGATTTTCCAGATATTGGAATAATAGGGAGGGAGAGGATTCCAGCAGTGCTAACATCATTGTAGTCCATGATGCACAGATATTGGGAACTTTTACCATTTATCAATATGTACATATATTGTTTTTGGATATAGGTTACATGACCATCATATTAAGGAAAACTTTGGCTGTGGGCCAGGGTGACTGGATTGAAATGCCACAAGTGTACCGAGCTTTTGAATGGTGATTAGAGTTGGTCAGAGGGCATTTAGGAAGGGGCTCTTACATTATTTTGACTGCTGATTGAGTGCATCAAATATTTTATATCAGAGTGGACATTTTCTTAACCCATTAACGCTGGTATATTTTGAAGCCGGAAATAAAAGATTCCGGGCGGCCACAGCCTGATGCTGCGTCGGGACGCTTGGCAATGTTTATTTTTTCGGGTGTCTCATATGTGGGACACCTGTCGTTAGTGGGTTATCTTGGATGTGGGTAGTGTTGAGATCTCGTTGAAGGATCCACCCATCAGCGAGGGTCCACCCTCCCTAATTGAAGTTAAGGGGTGATCTCTTAACTGAAGAGTGCTAAAGCAACATTTATCTGCAGCATCTCAGCTGAACTGTTAAAGGCTGGTGGTGAACCTTTAGAGTAGGGTTTGCATGCTGTACTGGCTGCCATCTGGCAGTCTGGTATTCCCCCTGACCTGTTGCGGGGTATGGTTATCCCTCAGCAATCACTGGGGCATCACATTGCTCAGTATACCAGGCAAGGTTCTTGCTCAGATCCTTCTGTGATGTATCAGAGACCACCTGCTGAAGCACGAGAGGCTGGAGCAATCCACAATAGGGCGTATCCTAGTGCTTCAAGTCAGTGTAGAATGCCATCATGAATTTAGGCGTGGGTTGCTTGCAGCTTACGTCTATCTCAATAAGTCATTTGATACAGTGCATCAGGAATCACTCTGAGAGATCCTGAGATTAAGAGGAATACCAACAAGTATTATTGGATTAATAGCAAATCTGTATTCTGGTACTGAATGTGCTGCAAAGTGTGGTGAGGGCCTGTCGAGCTTCTTTCCTGTTAGTTCAGGAGTGAGGCATGGCTGTGTCCTTGCATTAACACTTTTTAATACTTGCATGAACTGGATACTGGACAGAGCTACAAACCAAAGTCATTGTGGAGCAACTCTGGGTAATATCAAGGTTACTGACCTTGATTTTGCTGATGATGTTACTATTCTGTCTGAGTCCTTGGAAACCCTAGTGGTGGCTCTGGATGTATTTAGCAATTACGCAAAGCCCTAGGGTCTAGACGTCTCTTGGACCAAGACCAAGATCCAGGACTTTGAGGACCTGCTAGGAGAACCTGTTTGGTCAGTTTGTTCTTGCAGCGAGGACATTAAAGTCACAGGGCTTTACATTTCTTGATAGTGTAGTTCATAAGTCTGAGCTGTCAGACCAGGAAGTCAACAGGGGTCATGAACTCTCAACAAGAGTATTGGGACTTGCAACTACCTTTGCAGAAGAACCAAGCTATGTGTTTTCAAGGCCCTATCTGGTAATACCAGTTTTACTATAAGGCAGTGAAACCTGGACTTTCTCCTGTGCCTTAGAATCTCATCTTGATGCCTTTTGTGATAAGTCCTTGCACTGGATCATGGGGTACCTGAAATAAGTTCTCTCAGAAGCCTCAGCCTCATAAATGGTGGTCATCACTTAAAGCATCTCTGGTGTTGAGTCCTCCATTCTCCTTTAATGAAACCTGATAGTAGTGTCATATATAGTCTGATTGAGAAAGCTCCCTTTTAAGCAGATTATTTGAATTCATCAAAGCTTAGAAGATATTGAACTTCCTCTTTCATGTCCCCCATTACTATGCTTTAATTCATTTGCTTTCAGATCCTATGAAATCAAGTATCTGTTATCAGAATTAGATGAATATGGTGGAGTAGACCCTAATGGCTTGTTTTCTTTGATTTTAAAGACTAAATGGTCAATTAGCTCCTAAATTAGCCTTATCTTATGTCTTTTAGTTTGTAAAGTGTAATTTTCAGAGTCCTGGCGCCTTGTTAGTATTACCCCTATTCCCAATTGCCCACTATAGTCTTCACCTATTGAATATAGGTCCATTTCAGTTGCACCAATTTTATCTAAGATTTTTTAACGTTTCCTGGGCAAACATATTTCTGTACATTTGAGACCATTTCTTCCAGAGACTCAGTTTGGTTTTAGAAAGGGATTCGGCTGCAATGATGCATTGCTTATGTTGGGGCATGAAATGTAGTCTCCGTTAGATAAGAGTCATGAGTCAAGGCTGGTCTCTCTGGATTTTAGTGCTGCTTTTGACACTGTTAATCACAAAGGTTTAATTTTCAAGTTCCAGTCTGTTGGTGTTGGTGGGAAAGTTTTAAATATTTTAACAGAATT